GTATGACTTAAATTTATTTTATGGTGCTTTCACTTCCAGAGATAGTTGTAAGCACTGTGTAACTGCCTCGAGGGTGCTTGACCATTNTTACAACGTCGTTGCCAAGCCACGAAAACCCAATCCCGATGGCAAACACCGGGGGGGGCGGCTTGTTTTACAACGTCGTTGCCTAGCGACGAAAACCCAACCCCGATGGCAAACACCGGGGGGGGGCGGCACCGGGGTGCGCGAAAAATCCAGCAACAGCATGATTAAATTCGATGCACGCACCGGGGTCGGTGAGATCGCACCGCGGTGCGATCTCACCAACCCCCCAAATCCAAGAATGAGCTCCTTTTCAGCAGCCGGAATGCGTACATGTGCATACCTTTTGCACGTGGGGACGGTGTCAGCGTTGCGCCACTCTTGTCCTGTACGTACGTATGCATGGTCGCGGTTCACGCGGCATGCCGGTTGTTTGTTCATTTTTTAAAAGTACGGAAGTTGCCAAACGTACACTCAACCAAACACACAACGTACAAGCCGCACCCTACCCCACCTTATACTTCCTCTGTCACATAAGTAAAGTCCGTTATGATTACACGGCCATTTAGCCGTGTCCGATGTCTTAGGCGATACTTTTTTTGAAATCTTGAGCGTTTTTCGGGTTGAAACCCACATTTTTTTTTTTTCTTGCGCTCTACCCTGCATGCACTAGCGGCTTACAAAAGAGTAGTCAGGCCAAAAAAGGCCGTATTTTGCCCCTTTTCATGAGGGTGGGGGTGGGGGCACGAAACGAAACATACCAAAAAAAGACAAGAATTATCCCGAACCCTAAACTCAAGGTTACCTTTACTGAACGATCCATTTCGCGTCATTCCATACAAAACCAACATAGTAGTGAGCCCACACTAAAATCAAGACATTTTCGAGGCCCACACTAAAACCAAGACACTTGGGGGCGCCACACTAATCAAGTTACTTGCGGGGCAAAGCCGACAGGCGCAGGGTCCTAACCCTACCCCCCCCTTGTACTCAACGACCCATGTCGCGTCCGCCCAATGTTTTTTGGGGTAATCACTACCAACGCCGTACCGCTCGGCGAGGGGGCCTAGAAAGCCCTTGGGTACCCTTTCTTTGCCCGGCGGAATCGCCAACGCTATCTCCACCGCCATGGCGTACCGACGACCCAACGATACTTCCGCACCCCGCTTACGACGTGGGGGTGTCTGGGCGTCGTCCCCCATGATAGCTACGTCGTTGTGGTGGTAGTGGGTGCTCACACAGCACAAAGCTGCAAATATTCTTTAAAATATTCTCAAAATGTTTTCAAAATATTCCCAAAATATTCGCAAAATAGTCCCGTATTTGACACACTAATTCTCAGTAATTGTGAGTCGGATTTTTTTTTTTTTTAGTTAAGTGCGTAACAAGCGCTTTCCAACAAACCTAACTAGAGCTTCAGGAACACCTTGGCTGGTGAGGTATGTAAATTCCCCCATAACGGACTTTACTTATGTGACAGAGGAAGTACAATACGAACTATTTACTGGTATCTGTAGACGAAGACCGAAATGAACGCGGAAGATAGCCTGATACCGTATATAACGGGATGGAAACCACATCGTTGGTTGCCCTTTTCACGCCATAGCCAAACTCGCCTTCAAACATAGGACCACTCACTGCATGGAAAGCTGTTTCGCACCGCCCTACGTTGCCGTTACCGGTGTGCTTACCGGTGTGCTTCCAACCAGCAACAACGGTACATACACGTGTGGTTCTCTATTGATCAATGGCGATGTCAACTAGCGTGTGCAGGAAGGCCGTGTATGCGTATGTGCGTGGGTATGCCTACACTGGTATCAATACTATGGTACCGGTTGGGCAGATGGCACAGGGGTGCGTGCATATAACAGCAGTGTGTATGTCATCGGGGATGGCACCGGTCGGAGAGATCGGTCCGGGGTACCTTGAAAAAACTTTCCGAAGTGATTCATTTTTTGTCCGCACGGGGTTCGGAGAGATGGCACCGGTCGGATAGACGGCACCGGGGTGTGATAAAAAACCCGAGGTTTTAACATTTGAAAAAACAATCGATCCCGGTGTCATCTCTCCGACAATTACGGTATACAGCTGTGGGAGGGACGACCCTTCCACGACCGCGTCGTGCCCTGCTTTGATCGCACCGTGGTATTTCTTGCTCAAGTGGCAGTTGCGCCTATTACCAACTTCAAGGAGGCAAGACGAACAACACACTGCCTTTTTCAGCATTCCACAACATTCCACTTTTTCCTCCCCTATAATTTGCGCGACTGCATGTCTTGGCGACATTTGTTGCAAGCAAATCTCGCCACGATTTTCCCCCAAAGATTTTGTCCCCATGAAGATGGGTCTTGTTCTCACGATTTCCCCCCCAGGCAGTTTTGGGAACCCTCAACTCGTTTTTTTTTCTTGCTCTGTTCTCACGAAGTCCGCCTCAGACATTTCATCTGTTTTTTTGTTCTCTTGCTCGTTCGTGTTGATATTTTGATATTCTGGGCCCTTTTGACAAGGCTTGCCCTTGATTTCCTTGTTCATGTCTAACCAGCATGACAATAGCGACAATTTGTGAACATATAATATGTTAGTGGGGAACAGCCCGAGCGTGTTTCGCCTCGGCCCCAAACGGGTATTGACAAATATATGAACTGATTAGTTATGACAGGAGATATAAAGCAACTTGACCTTAGTCGCCTGCTTACCCCCTCCCAAGAAATTCTCTTTTTGGAATGTACATGTAGACATCGTTCATTTCTCAGTGAATGAACCGTTACATGACACTCCGGTATGATCTAGGTGGATATTCTTGGACATTGTTCATTTTCCCAGTAAACAAACCGAAGCGATGATACGATCTACAAGAATAATTCTGATGTTGTGAATATTTCCAGTGAACGAACCGCTGTGATGTTATGATCTACACAGATGTACTCACATCGTTCTCACTGCGAGTACCTCCCCATGACATGATCTAACATGGTTTCATTGTTTGTGTTGCCAGTAATCGAATGGTTACAATGGTATGATCGATATGCGTTTCGTTCATTTTGCCAGCTGGTGAACCGTTACAATGAAATTACACACACCAGGTGAGGCACAAGCCCAACATACCCCTTCCTCTGCCCAATCGAGACATGACTGGCAAGAAGAACTCCGAGCAGACCTTGCAGGTCAGGCTCTACGCCGTAGACTGCCCCGAGGTGGCACACTTCGGTAATCCGGCTCAGCCGTTCAGCGCGGAAGCAAAGGCGGTGAGTCTCGATTGGTTGTTCGTGTCGGCGAGCCACTCACGGCGTGTATATGGTTGGTGAGGCGGTGGGTCTCGATTTGTTTGCTGTATCGGCGGCGTGAATTGTTCCGGTTGTCGGCGTGTTTCGTTTCGGTTGGAGACGAACTTACGTTATGCATTGAAAGAACGTGACGAGATTGAAACGTGAATGAGGGAGTGGCTTCGATTCTCACGATGAGACCGAAGAGGGGGCCTTAAGCAGTAAGGAACTCTCGTTTGAGCCACATGGCGACGCTACGGTACATGCAAATGCATCCCTACTTTACCCAGCCCCGTCCCACCGAGATTTTTCTCGCCGATGACGCCAGTTTACCAAGGAAGCGTTGCAAGGGAAGCCGGTCAAGATTAAACTGTTGAGCATGGACCAGGTGAGCGGCGGGGTCGATCGATCATGGGCGTGAGGATGGATACGTTTTGTGCGAGTTCGTGTTCAACGTTGGATGCCACGTCGATGGAGGCATTCTTCGAACTGCGATTTTTGTCTCCAGGTGTCGGTCCCAGGGCGAGCGGTAACCTCATCACCGTAGCCCATGGCAGCGATGGACCACAAGGCCTTGAAACAACCATCGTTGCAGTTGGCAGTGTTGCGCACCGTCCGTCCCCGATTGCGTTGTGCAAACCGAATGAAGTGTCCGGCCCTCGACGACGACGCTTTGTTTATATGTGCTCGGTTGTGCGGATGCCCCATTCAGGCTCCCTGGTGACGTTCCTATAACTAGCGTCGTCCTTTGCTCTTGTAGCGTCTCCCTTGCACCGCAAAATTGTCCACCCTCCCTACCTCCCTCCGCGAAAATTGCTTTCTTCGTACTCGTGCCACGATCCGTCCAACTCCACCGCAGTACAACAGGGCGGTGTGTAGGGTGCGGTATGGGAAGTGGCCTTTCCGGAAGGACATCTCTGCAGAATTGCTCAAGAACGGCCTCGGCGTCGTGTACAGACAGGTGCGGTGACATTTAGGCTCGAGATAGAGATACAGAGGACGAGAAACGGAAAGGAGCACGTAGAGGCGGAGACGAATCGTTGAATACCCGACAGAATGAGTTAAATATTGTAGTTTTTATTTCTATAGGGCGTCGGTAGAGACCTCTTTCTGAGGTAATATTTCAGAGACGGGGAGGATACATTGACATGTATCGTAGACCGGCCTCGCCACAAATGTTTTTTCTGCGACACCCTGACATGCTTTCCTCTCGCACGCCCTGAGGCGGGGTGCACTTTACCGCAGTAGCGGAGGAACGGCGCACATGGTGGCACCTCGTTAAGGTAGCACGTGTTTGAAACACCCCCTCCAGGAATAGAACTACTCCGAAAGTGAGTAGGTGCAAGCGATTTTCAGATGTCAAGTGAGGCCGAAGCATTCATTCCAAATGAGTGGTGCCGCTTCGATGACCTTGCAGAATTTGAGTGTTGTGCCCCCCGGGGGGTGGTTATTCAAAGGGCCACGACGTCCATGATGACCCTTGGCAAGTTGAACTGCGTGCTCATATTTAACATTAACGTTGTCTACCTCCAACCATCACCACTTCTCATGTGTCCTTGGTTTGCTGCCAGGGAGGCGCTGAGTACGACGGTCGAGAAGAAAGTCTGACGGAGTATGAAAACTCGGCCAAGAGGCGGAAGGAGGGTGTGTGGTCGCGATCCAACGGGGAAACACCCGCGCAGTACAAGGCGAGGATTAAGCAACAACGGCCGGCGGCGGCCGGAGGGAAATGAAATCGTAATCGTGTGCGTGCTGCTGTATGTTGGAAGAAGTGAAGTGAGCAAAAGTTACCGCCGGTGGCGCGGCGCGTGTAACTTTCCTGAGAAATCCCCCCACGGCCACTCCGTGCTTGGCGGGTGATCAACGGGGTTCAGGGGTGAGCATTGGTTGACGCAATGCTTTTGGTTTTCATGCAGTCCGCGCGTTCGGTGAGGTTGGTTTTATCAGACTACAGTGGGGGCCCCGGTTTAGCGACCCCTAGTGTCACGACGAAATATGGTCGCTATTCAGGGTATGTCGCTAAACCCGGTTTAGCGACCAGTGGTTGCTAAACCGGGAGCCTCTATAGCGACTAGCGGTCGCTAAACTGGGAAAAAGCGACAATTCGTGGGACTAAAGGCCGTATTGCAGAAACCTTCTTGACCGGGTCATGTGTGCGTCGTATTGCAGCAGTCACATGAAGGTAGAGGAAAGAAGAAGCACCTTAGGGTGGACAACCGGGGACTAGTTCCTACATGGAATGTATTCCAATTTACCAGCAAGCTTATTGTACCATCCGAAGTTTGTAGGAAAAGTCTCAACAACAAATGTACAGAGNAGCCTCTATAGCGACTAGCGGTCGCTAAACTGGGAAAAAGCGACAATTCGTGGGACTAAAGGCCGTATTGCAGAAACCTTCTTGACCGGGTCATGTGTGCGTCGTATTGCAGCAGTCACATGAAGGTAGAGGAAAGAAGAAGCACCTTAGGGTGGACAACCGGGGACTAGTTCCTACATGGAATGTATTCCAATTTACCAGCAAGCTTATTGTACCATCCGAAGTTTGTAGGAAAAGTCTCAACAACAAATGTACAGAGGGTGCCTCGTGTCTTTCCCCCATGCTGAACAATCTGCCTCTACATGTACATTGACCATAGAGTAAGTCCTATCTGCGAAGTATAACAAAAGAAAGGTGGGGGAGGGGGGGGGTGTACTCGTAGTCGTGCATGCCGTAGTCGTTAGACCATTGACCTCGCATCCCTTCAACGCCGGGACGGCGCACGCCGGGTTCTCACCGGACCAGGCTCTCACATCACCAAGCGCGAAGCGCCGCGAGATATTCGGCGAGTCGCATGAAGGGTGCTGCATCCTGTTAAGGGTGTTCGGCATCTTGTGCTCACTTCCTTGCGTACGGATGACAGCTGCGTATGACTCAATTTATTTTCTGGTGCTTTCACGTCCAGAGAAGGTTGTAAGCACTGTGTAACTGCCTCGAGGGTGCTTGACCAATTTAACGCAACGTGGTGCGATCATCCCCCTTGCGCGGAGTGATGGTTCTCGACCCCGCACAACATGATCTTCTCGACCACCATTATGGTTACCGCCAAAAATAAACGGAGGTAAAAAAACAAACGGTAACCTGGTTGCCGAGTTCACGAAGTGAATGGGCTTATTTTACAACGTCGTCGCCAAGCGACGAAAACCCCATCCCGATGGCAAACACCGGGGGGGGGACAAGAAAGGTGGGAAAGGGGGAATAATCTTGGCAACGTCCCCCCAAAACCAAAATAAAACACCATGGCCGGAGAAAGTTCGCCCACGCCCAAGCGGTAAAGAACCTCGTGCTGCTTGTGACTTCAATCTGCTACTGTCCCGTGAACCGATCATTTAAAACTATTTCTCATAACATATGTCCGTCAGCAGCGCTGGTTTCGCGAAGTGTGCTTCGATGAACAATACATTTGGCTTGAATATTGTACGCTGCCTCGCTTAACCCACACGACTCCGCGGACTCTTCTGGCGATCCAAAATGCGACGAAAGCTCCGAGTAGGGCGGCAGTGCCATCATTTACCCACCCCCACACCGCCATCTCTCCATCTACCCCTATCTCTCTTTGCGTTTGGGTTGAATCGAGACGGGTGGGGAAGCCTGCATGTTCTTGGATACACACTCGTGGCAGGTGCGGTGCATCGATCGATGCTCCACCTCCTCACGCCTTCGGTGCAGGCGTCCACCGCAGCCACCATGGCACACATGCCCCTGGGGTGCCCGCAGTTCAACATCCGGCTGTTTGTACAACTCTCCAAACGGCGCACGGCATGTTGCGTGTTTATACGTGTCCCGCGATGTTGTGTCTTTGGGTGTGGAGGAACGCGGGGTCTCCGCAAAAATTGAAACGATGGTCGCTAAACCGGGGTGCAGCGGTGTCACGAGATTTGGGCGTCGCTAAACAGGGCATGTCGCTAAACAGGGGGTCGCTAAACGGGGCCCCCCACTGTATTTTAGACCCGATATGAGAGATCCGTTTGGTAGTTTGAGCGTGATGAGCGTGACGCGTGCTTGATGCCGTGACAGATTTACGAGCACGAGCACGCCCCCGAAGAATACGATGCTTTTTCCTATACGTCCCTCCCCTACCACGGTCCGTCATGGCCCAGCTGCTCTACACTCCCAACACACAGAACTGAGCCACCCGCATTATCGATCACGCTAGCGTGTGACACGTCGTCAACGATATTCACGTCGAGCTTACTTTGGGGTACATCGACTGGAGTGCGGTTCATGGAGGAACAACAACAACCGCCGTCCGGTGGCGGCACCGCTCTCCACCACCGCCTTGAGCTGTTGGACATGATGGACAAGGACACCCTCATCTCGTCGCTCGCCACCCGGGAGGCCGTGGATCAAGGACGCCGCGACCTACCGCCCCCGCCGCAGCCGGATCCGAGTCCTGGAGGCCGTGGAAGCGGGGGGGCTGTGGGAGCTGGGGGGCCCGTGGATTCCGGAGGGGGGGGGAGACCGCAGATGTTCGCAACGATGTTCGCCACCCGTGAGGATGTGGACGCCGCACTTCGCGCCGAGCGCCCGCCCGACAAGATGCCTGACCTTCCGCACTGCATGGCCAGCGACCTCCGCGAGCCGAAGACGTTCAACGAGGCCATGCGGTCTCAACATTCAGAGTTATGGAATGATGCAATCGGTCGAGAGTTTTTCGGTTTGTTGGATGCAGGAACTTTTAGTCCGGTGTAGCAACCAGTAGAGAACGCCATCAATGCTAAGTGGGTCTTTAACTGTAAGGCAGACGAGTACGGATGGCCGACGAAATTCAAGGCAAGACTTGTAGCGCGGGGGGACATGCAGAGGGCTTCGATTGATTTTGGAGAATTGTTTGCACCCACCGTATCAGTGTCTAGTGTGCGCTTGTTGGCAGCATTAGCATGCGAGCAGAATCTTGACTTGTGCCATTTCGATATTCAGCAGGCTTTTGTGCAGTCTGAGCTTGATGAGGATGTTTTCATGCGCTTACCGCAGGGGTGTGGTAGGTTATCTGGCTTGATCGTGAAGCTATGCAAGAGTCTGTATGGTTTGAAGCAGGCATCACGACATTGGCATTCGCACCTGACGAGGTGTTTGTTACTTTTAGGTTTTTTGCAGTGTCTGGCGGATGCATGTGTTTTTCGATTGATGGAGGAGGGACATGTGATCATGATCATCGATCGTGATGCACGTGGATGACATTTTTGCCGTACGGCAGAAGGAGAGGTGTGACAAGTTTGGCAGGGTTCTCAACGAGATGGTCCCCGTGAAGAACCTTGGAGAGTTGAGGTGGTACAC